ATGCGGGCCCGGGATCCCGCAGGCGGTATCGGTGGGATGCGCAGCAGAAGGACGGACAGAAGCTGGGAACATACCCGGCCAGCACAGGCTTCAGGCAGCAAATCCAGCAGGACAGACAGATGGCTGACGGACCAAACATCCAGCCTGACTTAGGCAGGATGGAAAGACAGACGGACATGGGCTTGGTGGTGGGGAAATACAGAACACAGTTCAGATAGGGGGTAGAGCAGGCAGCTGGGGACTTGGTCCTTTTGCACAGACGGATGGACACAGGCACAGCGTTTTGGATGCCCGACATGTGGTTCAGGTCGTAGATGGACAGACGGACTTGAGCTCTCGGCTCAGATGCCCAGCACATGTTCAGGTAGGAGATGTGGCAGACAGACAGACGGACGCGGGCCGGGCAGCTCAGACATCCAGCACGTGGTTCAGGTAGGAGATGTAGCAGATGGCCAGGCGGAGGATCTCGATCTTGGAGAGCTTCTTGTCCGGCGGCAGGGTGGGCAGCAGTTTCCGCAGCTCGGCGAAGGCCATGTTGAAGGCTTCGACGCGGATGCGCTCCCGCGTGGCGTGGGCTGTCCGATATTTGGCCGTGGCGCGTCGCCGGCGCCGCCGCTCCTCCCGACTCAGGTGCTGGAGGTCTTTCTTCACCGTCTCGCCCGGCTCGGCTATCCGGGACTGAGCGCCCAAGCCAACGCCGCTGGCGTCCTCCGTGCTGCCCGCGCGGCCGCCACCGCAGTCACTGAAGACGGACTCGGACTCGGAGTGGGTCGGGGGGAGGTCGATCTCGGTCTGGTCCGAATTGAGCATCATCTCGGTGGAAGAGGGGTGGACAGACAGATGGATGCTTCAGGGATGTGGTACGTTAGGAGGACAGACTGACCCGGGGAACGATGGCGAAGCAAAACTGCTTTACTTTAAAGAGAAGGTCTCCGGATCACAGCAAGCCCCTGGTTATTCTCCTCCTCTTCCTCCTCATCACACACCGTCTCCGCAAGGGAATTTCAAAATTTTCCCTTTTCCCCGGAGAGCTCGTTGGCCGGGCGACAGCTTTCACAATAAATAATGTACGAAAGATGGCAGGATGCATATAAATAAATAAATAAATAAATATCCTCCGCCCGCGCGTGCGTGTGTGTGTGTGTGTGCACAGAGACCACCGGGCTCTTCCGTGCAGCCGTGGCAGGACCCAGTTTCGGAGCCGTCAGGTGTCAGAGCCGAACTCCTTCCGCGTGCTCTAGAAAAAACAGAAGCACAGGGGCTCTCAGTACCGCCCGGCTCCCGGCGGACACGAGAGATGAAGCTAGAGAGCGCGGCTCTTTGCTCCGTCTGCCCTGCGGCACCGGCCCCGGCCGGAGCAGGGGATGGGGCTCCGGGTCCCCCTGGTCACGGGCGGTGGCGAGGGAGCCGGTGGGGTGGCTCGGGGAGAAGGTGGGAGCTGTTTTTCCCGTCTCTCCAGAGAGATGACAGGTGGTGGATGAGCGAAGGGGAAAAACAGACTGTGGGGGCGAGAGGAAGGGGGGCTTATTGTATACTAAATGAGCCCGTATGTC